AAAAAAAAAAAAAAAAGATTGGCTCAGTGTCATTAAAATCTTTGTTGAGGTAGTCATATAATGATTTTGCTCTTTCCTCTTATTAAAAGAGTGTACTATGGACTTTTAAGAGCATATTTCAGTTTTCATCAAATAAGCTGCATCTGAGATAATTCTGGCAAAGACAAAATTCAGTGTATTATTATTTGAGAAATAGAAGTTTTATTTAACAGTTCAACTTTTAAAAGTCATTACCAATATAATGATAATGTGATTTTTAAAAATTCTATTGTATGTCTGGTTTTTATAAATTTTCCATTTTCTGTCAGTCTGTTGAACAGTTGGCTAAGTGATTTGCTTGGCTTTGATAGAAAAATGTTATTGTGAAGTTTGCATAATTGTAAAAATGTTTAGACATTGAAATTCTTTGCTGATCAATTTGAACTTAAATAATAAGGCTGCATAGATAGATTGACATACTATTGTATTGTAGTGTGGGAGGATTATTATCATTTGCAATTTAGTGTTCATTCAATTAGTAAATATTTATTGAGTCTTACTCTAAGCCCAGCACTGTGTGAAGTGCTAGGATAACCTAGTGACTAAGACAGATTCTTTTTAACCTCATGATGCATAAATTCTAATGGTAAGGTAGACATTCATCAAAATATCCCACTATTATATTATTACAAATTACTATAAATGCTATAAAGATACTTGTATTGTATAGGAAATGTGATAAGAGTGTATCATGCCAACATATGATGCAATGTCGGAGTCAGGAAGGCTTCTCTGAGTAGGTGGCAGTTTCCTTTCCATTTGAAGGATCAGCGGGTATGAAGAATGTGGTGGGGGTCATTCCAGGCAAAAGAGAAAGCAAGTACAACGTCCCTGAGATGCAATGAAGGAGGAGAAGAGGCTCATGGGGTGGGTTGGCAGCAAGTACAAGGGAAGTGGCAATGAGCTGGCATCACAGAGGCAGGCGGGGCCAGATGTTAAGATACCAGTGTTTACTGGAAGTAATGGGAAGCTTTGAAGTATTTTAAACAGGAGACTGACATGACTAGACTTGTGGGCTTTTTTTTATACACAATAAAACAAACTCACTTTAAATATACAGTTTGATGAGATTTGACAAATGAATACTGTATAATCACCATGAAAATAAGATACAGATATTTCAGTCACTCCAGGGGATTCCCTCATGCCCCTTTCCAGTCCCAGAGACACTCTCCCAACCTCATAAAGTTTATATTTATTAAAACATATATTATATATTTTATATGTAATATGTCAATATTATATGTATATCATGTGTAATATATGTTTATAGTGTATATGCATAATGTATATGTATAATATATGCTGTATATAAATATATATTATACATGTTATACAATAATATATACATTATATATAAATATAGAAGTATGTGTACACATAAACATAAGTAATATGTATATTAT